CATTTCAGGGGATTTTGGGGTGATTTCAGGGGATTTTGGGGTGATTTCAGGGGATTTTGGGGTGATTTCTGGGGATTTTGGGGGTGATTTCTGGGGAGCATCGAGTGCTCGGTGGCCGCCCGCGCCGCCTCGATCCGCTCCTGCGTGATCCCTGCGGGGAGTTTGGGATGAATTCCGGCCATTTTGGGGCATTTTGGGGCATTTTGGGTCATTTCAGGGGATTTTGGGGTCATTTCAGGGGATTTTGGGGTGATTTCAGGGGATTTTGGGGTGATTTCAGGGGATTTTGGGGGTGATTTCTGGGGAGCATCGAGCGCTCGGTGGCCGCCCGCGCCTCTTCGATCCGCTCCTGCGTGATCCCTGCGGGGAGTTTGGGATGAATTCAGGCGATTTTGGGGCATTTTGGGTCATTTTGGGACATTTCAGGGGATTTTGGGGTGATTTCAGGGAATTTTGGGGTGATTTCAAGGGATTTTGGGGTGATTTCAGGGGATTTTGGGGTGATTTCAGGGCATTTTGGGGTGATTTCAAGGGATTTTGGGGGTGATTTCTGGGGAGCATCGAGCGCTCGGTGGCCGCCCGCGCCGCCTCGATCCGCTCCTGCGTGATCCCTGCGGGGAGTTTGGGATGAATTCAGGCGATTTTGGGGCATTTTGGGGCATTTCAGGGGATTTTGGGGTGATTTCAGGGGATTTTGGGGTGATTTCAGGGGATTTTGGGGTGATTTCAGGGGATTTTGGGGTGATTTCAGGGGATTTTGGGGTGATTTCAAGGGATTTTGGGGGTGATTTCTGGGGAGCATCGAGCGCTCGGTGGCCGCCCGCGCCGCCTCGATCCGCTCCTGCGTGATCCCTGCGGGGAGTTTGGGATGAATTCCGGCCATTTTGGGGCATTTTGGGGCATTTTGGGTCATTTCAGGGGATTTTGGGGTGATTTCAGGGGATTTTGGGGTGATTTCAGGGGATTTTGGGGTGATTTCAGGTGATTTTGGGGTGATTTCAGGAGATTTTGGGTTGATTTCAGCGGATTTTGGGTGTTTTTAGGGTGATTTTGCTGTGATTTGCGGTGTGATTTTGGGTGTGATTTGAGGTGATTTTTGGGGTGTTTTTGGGGTGTTTTTGAGGTGATTTTTGGGGTGTTTTTGGGG